GTAAAGTGAAAGCAGACACTTTAAGCCCCTTTAGAAGAAATGCTTTAAAACTATCCTTTAATGACTGCGGCACTGGTCTGCCTCCTGTGATTTCAGCAGCGCAATCACAACCACAAATCCTGTTATCTCACCTTCCTCCTGCTGCCTGATAGCATGCATGTATGCCAACAATTTAACAGTATGAGATCGGCACCCAAGTGTCTTTTCATACCAGAATTCTTGAACTGCTCCCTGAAGTGTTTCCGAGCAGAATCTGTGATCTCCGTCTTCAGCGGCTGCCACACAGCCACCAGATTACTGACCGCACAGTCCAAGTTTAACTTCATTCTCGTGGAGCAGCTGTGTCCGCTCATCTAAACCCTGCAGCTGTATGAATCGCTTCCAATCTGGCCGAAATAAGATTTTGCTGACTGATAACATCCCTCACATCCCCGCCTTCATGTCCTGCCTTAATTTCATTTCTTGTCGCAGCCGCCTCGTACGAATGCGCCAACTGTTGCAGCCGTTCTGGGGGTTTGGAATAATTAACGCCAGCCTCAGAAAGGTGAAAGCAGGTGATAATGTTCTTTGCTTGTGTATGTGTGTGTGTCTTTCTTTTAGCAGTCGGACAAACTTTGATAAAACTTTGCTAAAAGTAATCAAAGGATGTACACCTACATGTGATTAACCTTTGGAGTCAGCCTCGTCCAAGATGGCTGCCGGAGACAACTCGACTTAAAAAACACATACATGGCTATAGCTCAGGAAGTTTTACATGTAATGAGCTAAAACTTGGTGTGGTAGTAGCTGAAACCAGACCCTGGATAGTCCACCACAGGGACACATGGAGACAAATGAGACAATTTAGATCTACCACTGACCCTAACAGTGGTTCCCAATCCTGGTCCTCAATACCCCTATCCAACGTTTTACTTGTTTCCCTGCTATTCAGCAGGTCTTCAGAAGATTGTTCATCACTCATTCACTCAAACCAGGTGTGTCAAATCAGGGAAACATCTAAACATGTAGGAAAGGAGTCCTTGAGGACTCGAGTTGAGAATCACTTCTTTAATACATGTTATCTGATTTATTATTTACAAATAAATAGCAAAGAATCAATGACTTCCAGAGGCAATACTAAAAAACAAAACTGAGTCAATATTATATTTAGAAAATGTCTCATCAAGCTCAGAGAAGCTCTTGAGGTGTTGGTCAACATTTAAAGCAGTGATTTTTAGATGTTTCCCTGATTTTGACACACCTGGTTTGAATGAATGAGTGATTAACAGTCTTCTGAAGACCTGCTGAATAGCAGGGAAACAAGTAAAACATGCTGGATAGGGGTCCTTGAGGACCAGAATTGGGAACCACTGTGGACTATGTGAAAAACTAGGGATGCACCAATATGAAAATTTCAGCCAATATCAATATCCAATATACCAATATTTACCGATATCACACAAACACACAAATTATATTATACATAGATGCACAAACACACTTGGGTCTTGATACCGTAAATAAATGACCAGACCTCTGACATGGCTCCCTACTTCAGTTATTCCTGGCTACGCAGTGTAAATATCACTATCATGATCAAACAGATGCCTCTCAACCAACCATCTCCCCTCCCAAAACAGAAAAACAAAGATAAAAATGGGAAATCAGTATCGGATGTTAATATCAGCCCAGTTTTACATATCAGATTGATACCAATATGAATGCCGATATATCGTGCATCACTATGAAAAACCCATGCATACACAAAGGTAGGATGTGTACCCCCAGAAACCTGTGAGGCCTGCCTACCACCTTAGAAAACATACAAATGACTGTAAGTCAGTTCATTTTATAGATATTTGACTGAACTTCGATGTAGTTGTAGCTGAGAGTCATTGACAACACATAACGTCAAGCACTGTGCAACTTCTTTGCTTAAAACTTTGGCATTGACTGATTGTTAATCCTGATAATATACCTCATGAACCACTGAATGGATTTAAATGAAACTCAAGAGTATTCATTGTGTGCACATCTACAGCTGATTAAGTTTTAGAGTTGTTTAAATTCAAAATGGATGCCGAAGCTAAGTGATCTTTTTTTCATTATGGGTTATCTAAGTTGAAAAGTCTGGCATGAAAGGCGGTGGATGATATAAATTCCCAAGGCTGTGCCTTTTAATGTGCCTCAGTTTGTCTCTGCGAATCACCGGAAAAGGTTCCCCCTCTCACAGCCGGCTGCTCTCCTGCAGCAGCCCTCGTGTCACAATATTGATGTGATCCATGTCGACCGCGTGCATCCCCCCGGTTTGTTACCGAGTCGAGGGGCCGGACTACGGTGTCACAGGTGTGACGCTGAGAAAGGTCAAAAGCTGGGAGACAGATGGCATTCACACACTCGCACACAAACACCCTCCCACACACTTTTAACTCTCCCAAAGGGACAGTAATCTATTGTGTAGCTCAGATGGGCATCGCTGCCGCCTGTCACACACTCATGCTCAGACACACACACACACACACACACACACACACACACACACACACACACACACACACACACACACAC